TACTGTTTAAATACTGTCAGTCTTTTATTGTGGCAGTGCTGTACTTGAGGTGCTGATTGGTAGAGATGTGGGAGGTGGAAAGAAGGAATTCTGTGTATTCCTCACAGTTTGCTTGGGGTTCTTTTCTGTTCAGCAGTGCATACCTGATAGTGAATGGTTGGAGAAAGTTCTTGTCAGCTGGGAGACTTAAGCCCATGATTTGTTGCCACCAGAAGCTGAGATGTTTGAAGTAGCTACAGCAAGGAAATGAAACTGCTTGTTCTTTATAGGTCACCGTGAGTAGGACGAGACCTTCCTAAACAGAGACATTTGCTTGTTCCAATATGTATATGCAAAGTCTGTAATAACTTATTTTTCATAGAGTACAGAATTTTCCTCATCCTCTATTCTGTGCAAATATTATTGGCTTGACTTTCGCTCTTTCAGGAAACTGTCCATGCTGTTGTATATCAGATTTTCCAACTTTCACGTGTAGCAGGGTGACATGAGCAGGGGAATCTCTATAGTGAACAGCAACATAGTGTGAATTCTCTCAAGGAGAATTGCCAGCTTGTTTGATGAGATGCAAGCAATATAGATAAGAGGGGATGCATTTGAAAAGGATCTTAATGTCTTCTTGTTTCCCTGAGGGAAAACTGGACTCTACCATCAAAGACAAATGCTTACTAGTCACATTTCTCTATTAATTGTTAGATGATCAGACAAAGAAATAAAATATAGGAAGGTAAGACTTCATGGAGCCATCATGACTCTTTTGGAGGTGGAGGCTTTTGGGCAGGCATCTGTTTTTTTATTGTTTGTGCTTGTTGTAAATTTACTTATTTCCTTTTGAAGTCTAAAACTTGTGGCTCAAAAATTCCCTTTCCTATATGATATTTGCATTGTTCTCGATGTAAGTGGACCCCTTGGGCACTTGACTGGCTCCTATTAGGATGGTCATCTTCACTAAACTACAGCTGAGCCCTGCTCCAATTCCCGTAGCTGATAGGTGTGTAGAACTCAGCATGCTAAGCATTGCCCCTTTTAAAAGGAATTTTTGCAGTAGGAATGAACATGAATGGGAAATGACGTTTCTTCTTACTTTATACATCTGGAATAAAGACAAATTAATAGCCTTTTGAAGGTTCAGCCTTCAGAGAGCACAGACCTCTTAGAGGCTTTCTCAATTAATGTTGAATCTAAGATTCTTTCAATGCTCAGTGTATGCTGAACTACTCTTAGTAGCATATTGTGCATCCATTCATGAAAATCATTTTGCCCATTTCCTATTTACAGCTTGCTTGTACATTGAAGAACAAGCAAAAGAAATGGTTGAAAATACCAGGTTGCTCTGCATACTGTTTCTACAGCATTAACCCAGTTTGAGATAGTTAGCTCATCCACTTCAAAGGCTGTGCCTTCGAGGTAGCCCAGAACAGAGATTTGCTGAGACTTGTCAAATTCACATTCAGAATTTAATATATTTACTGTCTTCAAAGGTCATTCTCCAAACTAGGCTGTCCCATAAAGTACTTGAGGGTTGGAAATGTATAAAAACCTGTTGCATCTCCACTAGTCTTTAGTAACCATTTTGCCTGAATTCAAATTGTTTCAGAACTGGTTGAGAAAATCTGGTGTATTCTTGCAGCAGAGAGTCCTATCTTTGGTTTGTCAAATAGATTTGTTCTGTTTTGGACTTCCTGGAGCCTGGATTGTAGTAAATCTAGAATAAGTAAATGTAAAACCCATAGATTCTGACAGATCCTTTCTACAAGTATAGATTCATCCAGTATCAGCTACAGTTCCAAATGGTCTCATAAAGAGGTAACTACTTTTCAAAGGCACTCATGCTTTGAGATGCAAGTACTAATCTAGGGGGAATTTTATACCAGGGACTAATCACTTCCTCAAACTGAGTCACAAATTAGCTAAGGGGTTTCTCCAGCTTCCTCAAGCTTATCTGTAAGCATCATAATAAAATTTTCTCTTATTACGAGGGGACCTGCCAGACACTAACAAACAAAGGGTAAAGAATCTAGCCTAGAAAAGAATTTGAACTCTGGTTTCTGTTAAATACGTGGAAAAGAAATTCCAAAACTATGTAGATGTTTCATGTTCCCAAAATATGTACCCCATGTAGCTCTAGAGTATTAGTTTTTCTTCTGAAAGATTGATAGTAGTAATCTGAAGTTAGCCTGCTTTTCACTGAGGCAGTGCTGGAATGCCAAGGGAACTGGTTTTGCACCCCTTTTTTCCCTTTCAGTCTGAACTCAGACATTGGCTTGCATGGCTTGATTCATAAATGAGCAATATTTGACTGGCAAAGGTTCATTTCTCCATATGCCAAGATACGTTGGATCCTCTGAGAAGGTTGAGACTGATGGATAAATATCTGTCACATGTAGGTGGCCTATAAGAAAAGATTTGAGGATTTTTAAATTTAAGTCTTTGTTAAGACTTTCTTCCCCCCTCCCTACTCTTTAAACTCTTTTGTCATGTGCTGAGTGGGGGTGGATGGAGTTCAGGGTGGTGGAGGGAAAAAGGGGGGCTGCTGAAAGCATTTATCTCCATTTCTGCCATCATCCAGTGTTTATTACGCAGTGATAGACAGACGCAGGAAAGCTGCCAATCAAACCTACATTCACTGCATTTCAATTGGCCTTTGCTTTGGATTTCAGCATTTTGAAATCTACATCATTTCTGCAGAAAAAGGTCGTTCTGTTTGTGAGGATGACAATCCCGAGACCCTTGGGTACCCACTGCAGTCACTTGTGATCCCATCAAACAGTGGAAGACCCGGGAATCAGGACTGTCAGGTGCTTGGTGAGAACAGCTGCTTGTAAGAGCTTATCTGTTGCTGCCCAAATTTAGGAAGCTAAAGTGTGTTGTTTGCCTCTCAGTTACATATAGTACAATTTGACAAGCCACAGCACCTTCTCCTCTCATCCAGACTGAAATCCTGACTGGGCAAAGCCAGCTGAGAATGAGTTCTCATGCTGCATGGTGGAAAAAAAAAAGCTCTGTAGTGAGGATTTTAACTTTCCTGAGTCTTCAGCTGAGGTCTGAAATGTTTCCCATAAGCCAAAGAGGACAACACAGGTTAGGATACCATATTTCTGTGCTGGGGGTATTTTCCTTCCTTAATTCATTGTCTGAAATGTCTACATGCTTTTAATCATCTTTACTGTAGGACTGTGCATGCGTGCATGTGGGAGGCATCTGGCAGGACTTGTGATACAAATGTTATTCCACTTTGTTTTATGTATATAGTTAAGATTTAATAATTGCACTCCTCAATTACATAATTAGTGTAAGTAGAGATAATTACTTAATAAAATATGTAGATCATGGATTTCTGATTAGTGTTAGTTACACTGGTTTGAAACCTTCGAGAAATGGACCAAATTTTTCTGAACGTACCTTTCACACTAAGAACTGTGTTGCCTGTCTCCTATTCTTTTTGATAAAGGTGTCTGTTGCCTGAAGCATTAGCATTACTCGATAGCTTGTGCTGGCTCTGAAATTTGTGTGGGGCTGTCCTGTGGATGGGGCAGTACTGCATTTTTCTGTTGTTAATTTCTCTGCATATGGAGGTGAAGAGGATGCAAGGTTCAAATGAACACCATAACTTGAAGGCTAGTTATTGTGTTCATTTAAACCTTGCATCCTCTTCACCTTAAGGGAAAGAGATGCAAAGATGAGAAATTTTGCAGAAAAAAAAACCAAATCTGCTTGCCAGCTGTTTTTATGGTACTTCTAGCAGTAGATGCAGCAGTTGTATGAGCCAGATGAACTTACTGTTTGTGAAGCAGTTAGTGATTTTGCTAAGCTTCTTTTACTTAGAAGGAGAGCATGATTGTTCTCCTAAGGATATTTTTCTCCATTTTTTGTATTACTTGTTACACCTATGAAGGTTGTTCTTATTGCAAAACAGTTGATGTAACTTTGTAACTATCATCTGTGATAAGATCAGTATTCTGGAATTATTTACCCTCAGTAGAACTTCTGTTGCCTGTCTTCACAGTGTTTTCCTTGCCTGACTCAGTCCTGTAAGGCAGCTGCTACGTTGCTGATGTGATGTGAGCTACTGGTTCCCTGCAGGAAGTCCCTCTGCTTTTGTAGAGCACGTGTTTTTCTCTTCCCTTCCTGAGGGCTGAAGGCAAGACAGCAGAAGAGCTGCCTTTGTGTACCAAACCCAGGCTTGCAGTGAGAAGACTTTTAAAGATGAAGCAACGTAAAATTTAATTGTCCTACTTCTGTTTGCCAAGTGTAATTTCATTAATTCATTGAATCTGTATTCTCCAGTGCATATCTTCTCTTTAGAGGAGCCCTTTGTTTTGAGGGCTATAGAGAACAAGGCCGTGGGCATATGTTACAGCAATGGAAGTGTTTTTAATTCTGCTCTCCAAGTGATCCATGTGCATCTGACAGAGGCAGGTACAGAGATGGAGCAGATGTACAATGGAGTTTGGCTGATTGCTGGAGGCCTGATAGAGTTGAGTGCACAGTGTAAATCTATCTGGTCAGAAGTCTTTTTCCTTGATAGATTTCTGAGCTTTCCCTAGAAGCAAAAATCAGTATCAAGCAGCTTTCTTGGTGTATTTATTTATCAGCACCAGTTTGGAATTTGCTTATTTACTTTGTCCTGCTTATGTTGTTCTTTGCTTTGCTGAGAAAGCAAAAAGCTGTTGGTGTGTTTGTGTGTTCAGGCATTTTGGGTTTCTTCCTTTCTTCCTCCCTCCCTCGCCTGAGTGGTCATTTGGGATTTGATAAGAAAAGTAACTATCCAGCCACCCTACTCTCTCCATCTTCCTACACACCAGTTTAATTTACTAGCAGTTGGCAAGCTCTTAACTCTGCACAGGTGTCTGACAGAGTTGTCAAAGTCTCTTCTATTACTGTTGCTGTGGCAGCAAAGTCCTGAGCCAACCCTTCCAGGAGAGTGAAGGCACTGACTTTGCTGTGTACTTCCCATGGAGACAGTGCAGAGATGCTGAAATCCAGACTGCTTAGACACTGGAGGCTTTACTTTTAGTCATTTGTGCTTGGAAGTGATCTTGCTTTGCTCTCCTTTACCAAATTCTATTACACTGAATTTCTCTGGTTGCTAGGATGTGTGTGTAGTACATGGGCTTCCTGTCCATGAAGGCCTTAGAGACTGCAAATAGCATGACATTTTTGACTGTAGTACTACTATGGATGAACTGTCTCTTGTCTTTGTTTGTCTCCCTGGGAATCCCATTTAATGCATCCCAGCTTTCTCAAATATGTGCTGACTTGAGTAACCAGTGGTTGTTCCTTTGCGCCAGGAAATATAGGTTCTTTATGATAGTTTTTTAATAATTATGCTTACCCCTCTGTTTTTAGGCTGTTGCCCAAACCCTTGGGCAGTTAGCAAGGGTCATGGTATTTGCCTGGAGTCAGAACAGCCCTTGCCTGCTGTAGGCTGGGCCACACAAAGCAGCAATGGCCAGCTCCTAGGTTTTCCAGGCCAGTATTTTGTTACAACCCTTAATATGTGACAAATACTATAAGCAATCGGTATCTTCTGAGTGAAGTTTACAGTAGGAGCAGTGATTATGTCCACAAATGTGTGTAATTTCCCAGGGCAATGCTTTTCCTCAGTTTGTAGTCTGATATGTCTTCATAGCTGTACTAGACAATTTTGGGTCTGTGAAAATACAGCTTCACCACTGTTGATAACTAGAATGCATTTGCACCAAATGAATTGATTAGGACTTCTGCCTTGTGTTCCTGGGTAAGTCTTATCTCTTATCAACTTTATTTTCTTTCATAAATGTGTTGCAGGGAGATGCTTTCCTGTTAATTTCCTGTACTCTGTGGCTTATTGAGGACATGCTGCCATTGCTGTAAATAAGATTTCTTTAAGAATATGGAGTTTTGAGTATTGGTTTTTGAAAGGTTTTCTATGGTTTTGCCTTCACAGCTTTTTTTCTGTAGAAGTTACATTTGCTTGTAGAGGTTAAATTGCTAATTATTTCCTCCTTTTCTTTAGGTGCTGTGATTGGGGATGGACAGTCAGCTGTGGCCAGCAACATTGCCAACACCACCTACCGGCTCCAGTGGTGGGACTTCACTAAGTTTGATCTGCCTGAAATCAGCAATGGTAAGTTGGAAAAGACACCAGTGCCTTATTTTAAGTGTATGCTAACCAGAGCTAGGATAAGCTCTAGGATCTTTCAAAGACAGCTGTACGTTGCAGGTCTTGTTTGTCATGTTGCATTGGGGACTGTAAAATGTTTAGTCTTTTGAGGAAGTTGACTAAAAGCTTGTAGCTTTCCACTCTACCTACCTTGTGTATTCTTGCAATCAGCAAATCCATATGTAAATAGGGCTTGTTTTTTGTGTGCTTTTTCATGGGCACGTACCATTCTCTTAGAATTCCATATTCAGTGTCTTCATTCTCTTACTAGGAAGTTTCTAGAGAAATATTGTCTTTACACCTTTAAATTAGAACCTGCTAATGCACTGTATGTCATTTCTCTAAGTTACTGACATTAGTGTCTGTTAAAGTGCTGCGATACATTTTGGGAATCCGGACCCTAGTTTGTTGCTTACTATAGTGTTACAAACCCAGGGAAGTAGATGTACCTTCCAGTCATTTGCAAAAGCAGTGATTAGTCCTGCTTCTCAGGCAAAAGCTATTTTTGAATTGGGAATCTGAGCAATATTGCTGATTTAATTTATTTTCTCATTCATTTTGTAAAAATGAGACCACAGTTTCATATGTGTTCCATGTCATAAGCTAGCTCTCACATTGGAAAAGGTTTCCTTATGCAGGCACAAGCATGTTTGATACTTCTGGTCAGCTGATCAAAGAATGGCATTTTCAGGGCTAAAACTAACTTGACTAGAAAGGCTATTTTTAACCCAAAATGTGATCCTGATATAGCTTGTTACACAGCTGCTGAAATGTTTGTGGCAGCCTGGGATGAAGATAGGAGGTAGATATTAATGAATGTTTCTTTGTGCAAGTGATTTTTAGGTTAGGCCATCTCTGTGCATATGCACAACTCACTGCTTGATGTCGCAGCAAAAGCAGATTGGGTTCTACTTTAGGGGATTGACTTTTCTAGGGAGAACAGGGATTCTGTTTTCAAAAAGACTTCTGCTTTCACAGGTAGTCACTAAAATGAATTGAGAAGAGCTCTCACAGTCCCAGATCTGTGTGTTCTGCGTTTCCAGAAATTGCATATCTGACAATAGATGTCTCTGGGGCACTGTCCTGCTGCTTCAAGAACCCACAAAAGGAGAATGTAGGAGAGACCAGAGACTGCAGTAGGAGAGATGCAGAGAATCAAAATCACAGACTCAAAGAATAGTTTTGTCTGGAATGGAGTTTTAAACATTATCTCATTCACCTCCCCTTCTGTGAACAGAAATATCTTTCAATAGATCAGGTTGTTCAAAGCTTCATCCAGTCTGGCTGCCATGGTTTAGCTCCTTGCAGCCACTTCCTCACTTCCTTCCTGCCCTCTAAGGGTAGGGAGGACAAGCAGAAAAAGGTAGAACTGGAGGGTTGAAATGAAAACAGTTTAATTGAAATAAAGTTAATAATAACAATAGCAATAGTAGTAATGAAAAGAGGGAGTGAAGAGGGGTGAGAGGAGAGAGAGGAGAATTGGGGAGGGAAATAAAACCCAAGAAACACAAGTGATGCACAACTCACTACCCACTGACCAGTGCCCACCCCATTCCCAAACAGCGATTGGCCCCTTCTGGCAGACTCCCCCAATTCATACACTGGGTGTGATGTTCTGTGGCGTGGAAGATCCCTTTAAACAGTTTGGATCACCCATCTGGACCATATTGCCTCCCAGTTTCTTGTAAGGGTTGGTGCTCAAGGCTAAGTTTTGCCACATGGTGGCAATATCTTTGGAGGTCCTGCCAGACTCTGGAAGAGAATAAAGATGAAGTCAGAGGAGGAAGCAACTTAAATTCTTTGGGACTTCTCTGTGAGGTGTAGAGTGGTTGAAGAGTGCTTCAGCTGCTCCTAGCTTATTTTTTTGCCTCATCTGGCTGCTGAGGAGAAGGCTGTTAATTAAAAAGAAACAAACAAAAATAAAAAAACCAAAACAGCATAAGATGTTTGTTTATAATTTCTAAAATTCCATAGAAATTAGGAACCATCTGCTGCTTAATACATCAGCGTTTCAAATCTCCCTTTCACCTACAAGGATGCTTTTATTCTGAAAATGCTTCCAGTTATCTGGAAACTGGGTATGGTTTCTGTTGTCATTGTGTCCTTCTCGTGGGCCCCATTCCAGCTACAAGTCCATCCCCAGCCCTTCTGACTCCCCATGCTGTGCTTCATTGTTTTGGCTTGTATATTTTGTCTTATGGCCATTTGGAAATGTTCATTTTTGCTCTTCTTTTATATGCCGAGCACAATCCTGGCATTTCTAGTCTTTTAACCCTATCTCCTTCTGCCAGGGTGTAGTAGGGATGTATGAAGATGTAGCAGCTGTGTTTATACTAAACCAGGTATTTGCCAAGCTTGCCTAGGCACAGAACAACGGCAAGCTGCAAGTTTGCCAAGGTGCACAACTTAGAGATAGGAGAGCATGGTGTTAAGAACGTCAGTGTTGTGGGTTCAATCCCCATATGGGCCATTCACTTCAGAGTTGGGCTTGATGAACCTGGTGGGTCCCTTCCAACTCAGAACGTTCATGATTCTCAGTTCTCAAATGAGTTACAGTGGAGCAGTGGATTGGATGAGGTTTTTGTGATTCTTCATCATATTGGAAATAAACTATTTTCCCAGTAAGGTATGTGACCTCAGTACCTCTTTTTCCTCCCATTGTTTCCTGTAAATCAGAGGTGGTCCTGTGAGATAATCTGCTTATACAGAGGGGTCTTATTGTACCTCCTGGGACTGGCTTAAACCACAACGGGTTTGGAGCTCAGGCAGATGAAATTATGCAGCTGAAGTTTGGGACTGCCTGCCAGCTCCTCTCTCCATCAAAGCAATGACTCTGTAGCCAGCCTCCATCTCTGAGCAGCTCTTCTTCCTGTAACAATTAAACAAAGAAAAGAGAGCTTGGAAGTAGGATGTTTTCCACTGAAGCGGATGTATCTGAGTAAGTGACAGCAGCGTGATTAGTGCAGTCCTGTGATCTCAGTGTCTGGGCCCCAGCACCCTTGGAAGCCTTGGGCTCAGGATGTGGCTCTGCAGCAGCAAGCTCCCTGAGGCTCAGTCCAGCAAGAGCACACAAAAGCGGGTCCTGGTG